AGGGGGGCAATTGTAGGGGGGGCCAGTAAGGCCAGACCCTACAACCCAGCCAGGCTGGGGGTAACAGAGATTTGGGAGGGTCTGGGGGGACCCCCAGGATTTTGGGGTCACCCTATGGCTTGAGCCCCCACCCCAAATTGGGGGGGGGGGTTGTGGGGGTCACCTTGTGTCCCCCATCTTTGGTCTCTGTAGTGTTTGGGGGGGGCGTCAGGGGAGGGCAATTTTGGGGGTTCCCTCTCTACCCCAACAGCATCAAAAAGCAAAACCCACAAGCAGCCCCCCCCCAATATAAACGGTGTCCCCCCCCAGATTTGGGGGGGGGGGTAGGATGTCCTGGGGGATAATGGGGGTGTCCCCCCCCCCAAATCCACCCTGTGTCCAATAAATAAACCGTGGGGGGGGGCACTGTGGGAGTGTCAGGCATTAATTTGGTGGGGAGGGGCTGGGCCCCTGAACTCTCCCCCCTCACAGCTCCCCCAGTACAAGGGGGGTGGCAGCAGGGTCTGAGGGGGCTTTGGCATGAAGCTGAGGTTTGGGGGGCGCCCCCAGACTCCCGCAGCTTAAGGCAATAGCTTTGCTCTATCAGTCTCTGCCCCGTTCCCCAAATTTGGAGGGGGGGGCACTTTGGGGAGCTCCCCCTCCCCAGAGCAAAATGGAGAAGGGGAAAGCAGCTTCCCTGGAAGGCAGCTCTGAGTGTCCCACCCCACTGGGGACGGGTTTTGGAGATCCCCCCCGAGCTGGGGGGGGCTATGGGGATGTGGGGGGGCCAGGGGGACTGTCCTGGGCGGCAGGAGGGTCTGGGGCTGGGGGGGGGCCATCCCGCCCCTCTTCGGTGAAGATTTCGGGGTTCTCCAGCATCTCCCGGATCAGGGGGGGCATCGGCCCCGGGATCTCCGTGCGCAGGGTGATGGCTCGTTCCGCCCCTGGGGAGCCAAAATATCAACACCCCTGAAGGCCTTGGGCCCCTCCTGAGAGATGGAACCCCCTTCCAAAAAATGAGCTTCAACACCCTCTCAAATTTCAACCCCCTCCAAAACCCTGAACCCCCAAAACCTTGGTCCCCTCCAAGACCTTGAACACCTCCAAAATGAGCTTCAATTGCTGCAAAGCCTGGACAAACCCCACAAGAGACTGAATCCCCCCGAGGCTTTGAATCCCACCCAAAAATGAACTTCAATGCCCTCCCAAACTTCAAAAGTCCCCAGCTTTCAAAACCCTGCAAAAGCTTCAATGCCTTCAAAACCTGGCACCTCCCCAGATACCCTGAACACCCCCAAAATGAGCTTCAAACCCCCCTCAAAACTTTGAAACAATCCCAGGACCTTCATCTGCGCCTCCCTGAGAGCTTCAAATGCTATGGTGCCAGGGGCAGGTTTGGGGGTGTCCTGAGGGGTTTTGGGGTCCGGGAGGGGTCCTGGGAAGGTCTGGGGGTTACCCCCTTTAGTGGTGACTTTGAACAGCGTTTGGGAAGGTCACTGGGAAGGCTAGGGGGTTTTGGGGGGGATCCCAAGGGGGTCCTGGCAGGGTTGCCGCAGTTTGGGGGTGCCCCGGGGCTCTGGGGGTTGCTCACCCTTGGTGCTGATGCCACGCAGGTCAGTGATTTTGAGCAGCATCCGGGGGAAACGCTGCGGCTGCCACGGGCGCCGGCGCCGGGCATAGACCCGGAGAGCCTCGAGCAGCGGCTCCTGCAGCCGCTCCACCCGCCGGGGCTGCTCCAGCTCCATCCGGTCTGGGGAGACAGAGACACCACCTGGATAGACATTGTCCCCATCTCCCCTGTCCCTGTGTCCCCACATGCCCATCTTCTGTCCTAGAGATCCCATTTCCCCCCAGTGTCCCCTCGTGTCCCCACCTCTGCAGTTGAGCAGCCACAACTCAGTCCCGTGTCCCCATGTCCCCCTGCCCGCCGCAGCCCTGACACACCCTCATGTCCCCACAATGTCCCCCATGTCCTCACCCTGACAGATGAGGCAGTGGCACTGAGCAGCCCTGACTGTGTCCCCTGTGCCCCCCATCCCCCGATGTCCCCCATGTCCCCACCCCCACAGATGAGGCAGATGGCACTGAGCAGCCCGGTCTCGGTGTCATCGAGCTGCAGCGGCAGCAGCTGCCCCGCGAAGGCAAACACGAGGTCGGTGAGGGGCCCGAATCCCGCGTTGTGCATCTGGGTCCGGGTCAGCGTCAGCCCGTCCGAGAACGTCATCGTGTCCTGCTCCGGCGTGTAGCGGGTGCAGATCCGCAGCATCTGCAGGGCAGGGACCCCAAAATCACCAAGGGGCCCGAAAATACCTCCAGGGACACCAAAAATCCACCCAGGGTCAGCCCATCCCGTCACTGTGTCCTGCTCTGGAATGAAGCAGGTGCAGATCCACAGCATCTGCAGAGCAGAGACCCCAAAATCCACCCAGGATCTGCCCATCCTGGAGCATTGTCGTGTCCTGTTCTGGCTCTGCCACAGGACAGACACAGCACCAGGGGACAGGGACACCTCAAAACAGCCCAAGATCACCAAAAGCACCTAAGGCACCCCAAAGTTTCCCACAAAGGGATCCCCAAACCCACCCAGCTCCTCTCCAGGACATCGGTCTGTGGGGCGGCAAGCTCAGGACCATTGTGGGCCAGCCCAAGCTCCTTCAAGGAGCCCCCCAACCCAGGTGAGGAGCCCCCAAACATCCTGAGGAGCCCCCCAAACCCTCACCAGGATGTCGAGGCAGGCAGCCTTGAGCAGAGTGATCTGGTCAGCCATGCTGAGCCCTGTGAAGCCCGGGAGCCGCTTGGCGAACTCCACGATCTTGATGATGCACTTGGTGGCCAATTCGCTGAACTTGTCCCACAGCCCCAGGTCCAGCTGCACCCGGTGGTCAGCGCTCGAGTTCTGGGGGCATGGGGGGGGCCACGGCTGTTAGGGGATTGTTCAGGAACCCCTGCGACCCCCTGGAACCTCTGGGACCCCAACCCCAGCACCCTGAACTTGTCTCACAGCCCCAGGTGCAGCTGCACCCAGTGGTCAGCGCTCAGGTTTTGGGAGGATGGGCTCAGTTATGGGGGTTCAGGGTGGATTGGGACTCCCTGGGACCCCCTGAGACCCCAGCCTCAGTAACCCACAGGTCCAGCTGCACCATGTGGTCAGTGCCCAATTTATGAAGGACACAGGCTCAGTTATGGGGGTTCAGGACCTGCTGGGGTCCCCTGGAAGCTGCTGGCACTCAGTGACCCCCAGCCCCTGAACCCAACCCCAGCCCCAGGTCCAGCTGCCCCCCGTACTCAGCAGTTGAGTTTTCAGGGGTCAGGGCATGCAGAGACCCCACTCTGAGCTCCAGCATTAGGGTCCCTCCAATAAGTAGCCCCCCAAACACCACCCACGACCCCCAGTGCTCTGTCCCAGTGACCCCTCCCCCTGAACTTGTCTCCCCGCCCCCCCCAGTGCTCAGTGCTTATGTTTTGGAGTGGTCAGGAGGGAACAAGGACCCAGCTGTAGATGTGAGGACTGGGGTTAGGGTCAGCCCCAAAGGGACCCCCAAAACCCCCTGGTGCCCCACTCCCCCTGAACATGTCCCCAGCTCCACCTGCCCCCAGTGCTCATGTTTGGGGGAATCAGGAGGGAGCAGCGACCCTGCCCCAGATCCGAGGGCTGGGGCCCCCCCTTGGTGCCCCCAGACCCCCAAGCCTGCTCACCGTGGTGTACTTGCCCAGCTGGCCCAGAGAGGGGAAGGTCTCCTGGTGGGCTCTGCTGACCCTCCGCACCAGCTCGGCCAGCTCGGGGCTCAGCTCATCCCCCCCCAGATCCTCCTTCACCTCCTTCTTCCTCTTGTTCCGGTCGTTCCGCACGGCTGGGGGGGTGGGATTTGGGCGTTGGGGGCATTGGTGTGCCCCCTCAGATCCCTCCCGGGTGGGGTTTCCTCCCCTCTCCCCCAAAAATCTCCCCATGGGACAGGAACATCCCCACCATGAGCAGCCCCAGGACCATGGGACCCCTCAGCAAAGCTTTTGGTGGGGGGGCTCAATTTTAGGCAACTCCCCTGCAGGACCAAGGGGGGAAAGCCTCACACCCAGCAGTCCCTTCCACAGCCCCAGATCCCTCCCAAGAGCAGGAACATCCCCAGGCCCACGGGACACCACCAGGGCCCCTCAGCGATGTTTGGGGGGGGTCCCCAACTTCGGGGGACCCCGGCCCAGACCCCCTCGCACCTTCCTTGGACATTCCGACCTGGAAGCACTTCTGGAGGCGGCAGAACTGGCAGCGGTTGCGGGTGACCTTGTCGATCTGGCAGTTGCGCTCCCGGTGACACGTGTACACCATGTTCTTCTGGATGCTCCTCCGGAAAAACCCCTGCAGTGGGAAAACGGGGGTCAGGGGGGCACCCCTAAACTGGGGGCACCAGTATCACATCCCCAGGGATCCCAGTAAGGCTCCCCAGTGCTTGGAGTGGAGCTCCTCAGTGGCTCCCCAGTATCCCAGGGTGGGGCACAGGGCTTGGGGGGCTCCCAATGGGGTACCCACTGGCCTGGGAAGGGGTCCCCATCCCCCAGGTGTGGTCCCACTCACCCCACAGGGTCCGTGATGTCCCCAGGTGCCCCCATTACAGCTCCCCAGTGCTTGGGGGATTCCCAC